CTCTCCACGGACTGCCTGCCTTTGGAGATAGTACTGCGCTGACCTAAGAACTGGTTCTGTGGGGGTATATCAATGGGTCTCTGCGACGTAGCCAGCAAGTCATCACAACAGTCCATTGACCGGCCTACAAAACAATCCAAGCGACGAGAAATGGCCCCAGTGAAGAACGGTCGTATTCTCTTCAATGATATTCCTTCAGGCAAGTATCTACAAATCTACACATTGCCAAGCTCGTGAACTGACCCCATGTTGCATGCAAAGGCTACTCTGAGCCTGGCAAGACCACCATCTACGATGAGTCTGAAACAATTGATCTCAACAATGCTCCCCTTAACAGCAGCTTTCTCATCAAAACCCTCATCCTCTCCATCAACCCTTACCTCCGTGACAAGATGCAGGACCCCAAGGATTATGGCTTCGCGGTGCGCACCTATCACATGTTGTATCGGTATATCAGCTCCTAACCACAACTGCTACAGCCTCACTTCGATATGAACCAGCCGATCGCCAATTTCAGCGTAGGTGTCATAGTGCATTCTGAGAATAAGGGTGTCAAGGCCAGAGATCACCTTTATGACACTTTCCGTGAGTCTCCTGTTATCCTGTGACCTTTTGATGAATCTCACCTATTCACTACCAGCCTTCCAAGAATACTTCATACTTCCCGGCCTTGAAGACTCCCGCATTCTCAAGAACAAGGAAGGTCTCCTGTGGTCTGCATATGTTGGTATTGCAGGCATGCCTGGCCAGACCACCTATACGGCTTGGAGAGAGTACGCCCAGGCAAAGAAGGGTGAGACCGCCTTTGTTACAGCTGCATCTGGGCCGGTCGGTTCACTTGTCGTCCAGTTCGCAAAGACCAACGGCATGAAGGTCATCACCTCTGCCGGCTCTGATGAAAAGGTCGCATTCGTCAAGAGCCTCAGAGCAGATGTTGTGTTCAACTACAAGAAGACAAAGACAGCTGATGTACTGGCAAAGGAGGGCCCCATCAATGTCTACTGGGACAACGTCGGCAGTGAGTCATTCAATGCTGCTCTTACAAACACAGCACAGCGCGCCCGATTGGTGGTAAGCCTCCTTGTCACTCAGACATACGTCCCGCTCTGCTGAACACCCACCATTGCAGGAGTGCGGCTACATCACTGGCTACAATGGTGAGGGGACGCCGGTGAAGAATATGGCAGTGGTCTTCGGGAAGGAGATCACGCTCTACGGCTTCCATGTCTCCTCGTTCCTGCTCAAGTATAAAGACGAGTTTTACTGCGAAATCCCGGCGCGTGTCACCAAGGGTGAGTTCAAGTACA